GCCGGTTGTTGGCGACGTTGAGCACGGCCAGCTGGCGCAGGGAGGCCAGCGGGCCCAGCTGGGTGAGAGCGTTGCCCGACAGGTCCAGCCACTCGAGGCCTAGGCACTCCCCCAGGCAGCCCAGGTCCACCAGCCCCAGGCCCCGCAGCTTCAGCAGCAGGATGGACTCCAGGGCGAACTCGCCCGAGCGCGACTTGAGCAGCTGGGGTGTGACGCGCACCCCATCAGCCTCACCTGGCTTCTCCCCCCGAGGCTCCATGGGACAAAGTGGGCCTAGGTGGCCCTGGCAGGTCCGTCACTGGGATGTAGGTGCCACTGGAGGTCAGCTGGCTGCTCTCCCTGAAGGAGACCTGTTTCCAACACCCCCACTCACAGGCCAGCAGGTCCCTAAGGAGAGACAATGACACAGTCAGCAGGCCTCCGAGCACCTCTGTGACCAGCAACAGGTGATGGCATCTCCGTGACCAACCAGCCTCTACCGCCAGGGCCAGAAACCTAGATGGCCCAGCATGACGTGAGGACTCAAGTCCAAGGCGAAGGAGGGCAAAGAGCCCCTCAGAGAGAGGTGGGTGGGCACAGGCCCCCACCTAAGGGGGGCCCCCGACTTGGCTCTGGTGGTCATGGCCATGCTGGATGGAATTCAGGCCCAATGTTGCCAATTATTCCCATTTTCCAAATCTGCACTCAGGCACAATCGCGGTATTTTTCTTTCTTGGTAACCACTCATGATTATCTGTTATTATTTCTGAGGTGCTTCTTTTTAACCATTTAAATTTATTTTTGAATAGATAACAGGTCACCATCATTGTTGATCTTGTTTCCTTCCTGGGAGAGCTATGCATTTGCAAACACAAAGTAGAGCCCGCTGGGCCTGGCTTTATTCGCCCGAGTGTGTTCTGGACTCAATTTTTTTTTTAAGCAATGAATTCAAAATGGTTTCCGGGTCCCATGGGCCAACTTGTAACCTCTGGTTGCAGCTGTGGGGCCTGAAGGCTCAGCCTTCAGTCCCAGATGAGGCAACTGAGGGACAGCAGACGCCCAGGGAGTAGGCGGCAGGACTGCCAGGCCCCAGGCCTTTGCTACCCCTGCCCCCGCCCGCCCGCCGGCCCGCCCAGGCACTGGCTCTTCACTCCGGCGTCCACAGAACAGCATTTCTCTGGACGCCAGATAACACGGTCCCAACTGCAAACATGACATCATTTCCAAAGTGGGCAAAGGGGGTCTGGGGAGGGCAGGCCAGGCAGTCAAGGAAGCCATCTTGGAGGGAGGGGCAGGGTGGCACCTATGTTAGCTCCAGAAAGGCAGGGGAAGGAGGGGATTTTCAAGTCACCAGGGGCCGCAGAAGCTGAAGTGCCAGTGCAAGACCAGCCGTGACAGAGGAGGCCCGGGGGAGGGTCGCTGGCAATGCTGAGCGCAGAGGGGTCAGGGTTTAGGCTAGAGGAAAACAAGCAGGGACCTCTGCTCCAAGTGGCAGCTCCCCAACCCAGCAGACGCCGGCCAGGCCCAGGCCAGGCCAGGCAGGGTGACGTCTGCAGAGAACCAAGGGGCCTTTCACTCCCGCTGTTTACAAAACCCACCAGGGCTGGAGTGTCCGCCAGGCCCAAGCTGCGTTTCTATAGTAACGTCACCTTCCATTCCCCCTCCTAGGAAACCAGACCCAAAGCTCCTCCCACACTCCCCTCCTCCAGCCCCGGGGAGCTGGGAGGCTGCTAACGTATCTGGCCCCAACCCTCCCACCCCATATCTGAGAAGGGGGTCCTCCATCTTTACCCAGCACCCCTCTCGTGAGCAGCAGTCCAGCTCCTTCATTTCCACCAGAGTTTCTTGCCAAAAGGCATTGGAGGCACCTGAAGAAGCCTAGCTCATTCTCCGCAGGAGCATCTTCTGGGGTTTGTCAGCAGGGAGTGACGCAGTCCCCTCTGCATCTGGTTACACCTGCTCTGGCCCGTAGGGTGGGGTGGGGCACGAGGGGCACCAGACCCTGAAAACATGCCATAAAAGCCCTAGCAAGCGACAAGGACCCCGCCAAAGGCAACGAGAGATGGAGAGGAGGGAGAACACGTGCTCGGGACCTGGCCACGTGACCAGACACACAGCTCCTACCTCCCACGCAGCTGGGACAGGCAGGGTGGGGGCAAGAAGACTTAGCTGGGACAAGGCTCTAGGGTGCCTGTGGCATCGGCCTTAGGAGGCAGGTGCAGATCCACCCACCATGTGAGCACACAGCACACCAGGCCAGCCTTAGGGGACACAGGCTTCTTTCAGTACCTGTGGGCCTTACTCTAGGAGGATGGCTATCCTCCCAGCCATACTATTTTGGGGGTGAAAGTGGTCGGGAACCCCTGGTGCACACTGGGTCCAAACGAGAAGAGGCCATCAGGTGGGGTAGTCTGGGGCAGAGGGGAGGTCACAGTGGACCACGAGGGTCAGGCAGAGATGCCCTGAGGAGCAGGTTAGTGATGGAGATGGAGGTGGTGGCCCGAAGGGAAGGAAAGAACGAGGGAGCAGGGACGGAATGGTGCACTCGCTGCCCACGGTAAAGCCGGAGGGTAGAGGAATGCTTTCTGCAGAAGAGGAACCAGAGGAGCAGAAAGATCCCACTGGGACTGCAAATCAAGCCTTCTGTGCCCCAAGGTCCTATCCGGTGGGAAATACGTGACCCTCCAGCCCACGGCTCTGTGCCTTCGGTCCTGCACCCTTGTCTGCAGTTAGATGAACAGCACCACAGTCAAAACACGATTTGCCAGTGCATCAACCATCTCTGTTCTGCTCCTGGTCACTGTCTTACCTCAGATCTGCACACCTCAACAAGGCAAGGGCCCACACACCTGTGCAAATCCAGGTGTACCCAAATGGAGAGACCAGCAACTGAGAGGAGGCTCTTCACGATGGGAGAATGGCTCAGCCACACCTAAGCCTGTCAGCCCTCCTCTCTGAAAAGCAAGGGGCATCCTGGTCCTGTTACGGAAATAAGCAGAGGCTGTTGGCCCAGTGCGGGTCTGTGAAAAGGACTTGGTTATGTGGATGAGACTATGACCAAGACACAGGTGACATTCGGCTCTCTGGAGGGAGGCCCATCTTCCCTTGTTCAGAGCCAGCTTTTCTGAATCTCAGGTTACCTCTGTAGGAAATGGGCCAGGAAAGGATGCCCGTGAGTCAGGAAGAGTGGGGCAGAGCTAAGTCTAGGAGAGAAAAAGTTCAACTCAGAGCAGCCTCAGGTGGACAGTCACCTGGCAGCTTTGGCGGACTGGGGACCCTCCTGCACCCCATCGCCTTCCGTCCACGATCTGGCACAGGTTCTTCAACCCTGGCCCTACCACCATTTGGGGCTGGACTGCGTCTGTTGTAGGGTCTGCTCTGGCCATTGCAGGATGTTCAGCAGCATGTGCTTTCCATCCACGAGAGGACAGGAACAATTCCCCCTACAGGCTGTGCCAACCAAAACCTCTCCAGAAACTGCTGAATGTCCCCTGGGGAACAAAACTGTTCCTGTTGAGAACCACTGCTCTGGAGCCCAAGCCCCCAAGACCGTGAAGCTTCTCACCCTCCTCCTTGCACCGACCCCCGTCTTCCTCACGTGCTCCCACCCCACTGCCTCTCCATTCCAGCCCCTCACCCTCAGGAACACAGAGCGTGGGTCCGTGACACCGAACAGCAAGGGGACGGTGCCCCTGCCAAGGACAGCTCAAGGGGATAGTGGCACTGACCATGAGTGGCCCCCAGAACAACTTGGGGGTGCATCACATCCCCGCCCCCACCTTACCTACTGCACCCGCATGTGGGAGGCAGGGACAGGATGACGCAGTTTTAAGATGATCTCAGGTGATTCACATTCAAGTCTGAGCCACATGTGCAATGTAAGGGAGGGAGGCAGGGAGGGGGCCGGGCTCGTGCAGGGCCGTGCCCTGATCTCATCACCAAATGCAGTTGATACAGAGTTGGGGACGTTACAGAGCACAGCCTCAGTCCTGGCTTCTCCTCCAGACACCCCTCGCCTCTCATCACAGGGAGCCGGTGACACACACCCTCTCCAACAGCTGGGGCAGGAGATGCGACCTAAGCAGTATGGAGGCCAGACCTGACTTCCAATCACACTGCTCCAACCACTGAACGTGATCTTTATGAAGCTTTATTCAAGATGCCACAATGACACCGTCAAAATGAAAATACACCACGCTAAGTAGGACAGGGTATGATCTCAAAGTAAAAAAAGGAAACATGTTTAAGCAGTAACAGAGGCCGTCTGAATGAAAGGATGACAGGGAATTTCTCCAGCTCCTCATGTTCTCAGTAACTTCCGAATGCCCTGCAGTGAATTAGTCACAGTGACACAGGGACGCAAGGGGACAGGTCTCCCAGGCTCACCCCCACAGCCAGGGCCACAGTGCAGATTAGGCCTCGGTGCCTCGCCCTGCGTCTCCCCACCTTCCGTCTCACCGCCACGTCCCCTGGTGACCCAGCACCTTGGGAGAGCTAGACTCGCGTCTTGTGGGGTGAGATGGGCCACCCCCCACACCCCTACCTCTCCTTTTCCTTCTTCTCCACCGGATCCCCCCAGTGCCTGGTCCCACGCCCTCAGGTCCTGCCCTGGCCCCAAAAGAACTCAGGCCAGGCTGTTCCATTCCTAGGATATACATCTTTCCTTGCTTCCTGAGGTGTCCACTGTAGAAAGGAAGAAACCCCAAGGTTTCTGGGGGTCTGCAAACTACAGGTAAGAATGACAGTGTGAGGACTGGGGGGGGGTCTCAGCTCTCCTCAGTCACATGACCTCAGGAGCCAGCGGTCCCAGCCACCAGAGCTCTGGGGCACTCTGGGATCCAGGGAGAGTACAGGCCCTGAGAAGCCCCGTGTGCCCGTGGGCCCCTTCCTCTTAAAACAGCGCCTCTGTCTCAGGAAGAGCGCCCACAGTGTCCCCCTGGCCTGGGTGGCTGGGCATACCTCCCCCGCAGCACACACGGCTCCCTGGGCTCTGGCTGCTCTCAGGGCCCGCACCCCCGACACACACGGACAAGCTGTATGGGGGGCCCTTACTACCCGCTGGTATTTTAAAAGAGCACCACAGTTAACAAGCTGTGTAGTACAACTGGGAGTCACCCGTGAGCGGAGTAAACCTTTCCACACACACACCGCTGGCCATAAATCAAGCGGCGGCCAGATGGAAAAGGACACCTCCCTGTAAGTGAAAGCGGCCATCTGGCAAGAGGTGAGAAACTGCCCTCATTCTTTTCAAACAGGTTTAAGATTCTGGCTGCCCTTGTCTAATGTCCTCAGGTGCAATACTCTGCTTCTTTCCACAGGCAGCTTTTCGGGGCATCAGACCGTGCAGTCAGGCTCACTGGTCTGTTCCACATCAGCCAGGTCCCCACTGGGGAAGATAAGGGGCGGCGGGGTGTAGCTGGGGAAATTCTCCAGGTTGGTCTTCAGGAAGAGAAGATACTGGATGGCGTCCACTGGGAGAGAGGGGTCATGTTCCGTGATGGTCCGGCTGCCCAGGGAGGCCAAGACACTTGCTGAGAAGGTGCCCGTCGGGGGGCAGGACAGATAGATGGTGGCCAGTCTCGCCAGGGCTGGCCAGACATCCCACCTCTTCTCCCAGTAAGCCAGGGGGTCCTCCTGGGCACCCACCGCCTCATTCTCGCGCAGGTACTTCTTCACAATGACGCTGGCCTGGTGGTTCTCCATGGAGAGCGAGGCACCACTCCTCCTGGAGGCCAGCAGCCCCACGCTTTCCAGCTGCTCCAGCAGGCTCTTCTCCCTCTGGCCAAACAGCAAAGACTCAGAGGCACTGCCTCTCTGCATAGGGTCCTCTTGGTCCTTTCCCTCTGCCCCGGAGCTCCTGGCCACTCTACCACTCAAGGCGGAGTCCGCACGCACAGCCCGGGGGCTCTGCAGGGACGGCGAGGGAGGCAAGGAGTATTCCGACACCATGATCTCCTTCACCTTGTACACGAGCACCTGCTTCCAGTGGTCAATGTCAGCCCCCGCGGGCAGGATGGCCTCGATCCTCCCCTTGAAGCGGGGATCCAAGAGGGTCGCCAGCACAAACTCCTCGCGGTGGAAGAGCTCGGTGAGCTGGCCATCTGTGGTCAGCTGCAGGGCCAAGCCCTCAGCCAGCCGCACAGCTGCACCCATCTCCCCAGCGCTCTGCTCCTCAAAGTACCCGCGAACCTGCTCCAGGAAGATGTGCAGGTAGCGTAGCTGGGGCAGCACCAGGCTCAAGGAAGCCTGTGTGGTGCTCGCCTCCCGGACCACCATCTGGAAGGGCCGCAGGAGCTGGACCAGGCTGTCTGTCAGGCTCCAAAACATGGCCGACAGGGCTGTCCCCGCCTTCCCCAGCTGGTGTTTCTCCTCATACTCCTGCAGTGGCCGCTGCTGCTCCACCAGCCACTCCATCAGGCGGTAGGCAGAGACCCAGTGGTCTGAGAGCTCCCAAAAGGGCTGGTGCGCTGGGAGGCCGCACCGCCGCTGCAGCCGGGAGAGGAGCCGCCGGGCCTCTGCGGAGCCTTGGAAGTGGCTGCAGATGGCCCTGGCCGTGCCCAGGATGATCTGGACGCTGTGATGGTGACACAGAAAGCTTCCCACCAGAGAGTCGAGGCAGTGGACAAAGCAAGGGACAGGGATGTAGCCCTCTGTCCTCACCACCTGCTCCAGGCTGGGGCAGCCACCCGCCACCAGAAAGCCCGGCCTCAGGGAGCCGTGGCTGAGCCACAAGCTGAGCTGCTCCCGCAGCTCCCGCTGCCTGTCCTCTAGGACACTCTCCAGGGGAAGGCCCCGGACCCAGAGCACAGCCTGCTTCCTTGGGCTTCCAGACCCCACCTGTTGGCTACCCGGCCGTGTCACCCCCCAGTGGGCAGTGATAGCCACATAGTCCACAACTGTGTCCTGGGCTGCCACGGACACACTGAGGTGAACGCAGCCACCCTTAGCCCACCGCATTTCCTGACGCACCTGCTCCCCCATTGCTTCATGGAGCAGAGGCAAGGCTTTCCCAGAGAAGAAGGCTGGAGGTGGCAGGTGGTAGCAGGGATCCACTTGGGCCATAAATCTTCTGAAGGGTGGGGACGAAACAAAAGAAAGTGGCAAGGCCAGGCTGCAGAGTAACTCGGCAATGCTGTGGTTCCAGGCCTGTGCTCGGGGCTGGTTGGGGGCATACAGGCCACCCTGGTCCTCCCCACCCTCCACAGGGGCAACAGTAGGTTTATCTCTGGTGGGAGTAGGCAGCGGGGACAGAGCCTGTACCAACTGCTCAGGCCTGCCTGGGGCCGCCTGCCCCTCCCCGTCTTCTGGAGGTGAGGCGTCCGGGCAGCGTCGTGGTGATGGGAGCCCCTGGGAGACCTGGCCGGCGGCACCTGCGGGGAGGCCCTTCTGTTTATTCTCAGCCCCTCCCTGCTCCCTCCCAGGGCCGGCCGCAGTTGGCTTTCTCCCCACGTCCAGCCCATGCTTTCTTGCCAAGTGGCGGACCAGACCTGAGGGCTGGGACTGCCCCTTCACCTTGCCCTGTTTGATGCTCGCGTGGCACAGAGTGCAGGTGACTCGGCAGATGTTCCTGTAGTTGACGGTGGTGAAGAATCGTCTCAGGTCGGGCGTGGGCTTCTGGCCCGTGGTGTCCAGGGGGCCCGGGGGCGGCCCGGGGGCCCAGCCCTTGGCCTCCACCCCTGCGGTGCTGACCAGCTTCTTGGGGCAGAGTGGCCTCTGGAGGCTCAGCAGGGGCGGCTGCTCCCCAACGCCAGGGAGCAAATGCCTCTTCTTCCACTTCTTGAGGTGACGCACCTCTCTGGCCAGGCGGGCTATGAGGACATCGGTCTGCCTCACCTCATTCTCACCAGGCTGGCCCACCTCTCGCCTGTCCAGGCTGCTGGTCTGAACCAGTACCAGGCTGGAAGGGGCCTGTCCAGAGCTGAGCACTGGGTCCCTCAATGTCCTTGCTGCCGGCTCCCCCTCCTTTCTCCGTCCACATGCCTTCTGCTTGGACACCTTCTTCCTAGGCTGCACCGGGGGCTCCTGCCCCAGCACAGATTTGAGACCACAGGGTCCAGGGTCTCCCTTTGGCTTATTCTTATCCTGCCCAGGGCTGGCGTGGCAATTTGCCCCAGAGACAGCTGGGTGAAGACCAGGCCTCTCCAGGGAGTAGGCCCTTCTCTTCTTGCTGCAGACATGCGGGCCCAGGGGACCTTCCTCCTGCTCCTCCAGGAAAGCCTGGTCAGGCGAAGGGACAGACAAGGCTCTGGGGAGGGGTCGAGGTCTCTTCCTCTGCAGGGGCAGCTCCCTCTCACTCTTCTTCTGGGAGTTGGAGGCTCTGATCTTCCTGGAGCCACCGGCCTTCTCCTCTATGTCTGCAAACTCAAGCTTGACTTCGTTCTCTGGCAGGTGCCCCCCAGCATCCCAGCCAAGTCCACAAGAGGTGTTGGTGGCTCTGGTGTTGAACTTGGAGCTGGAAGAAGCCAGAGTGGTGGCTGGGCTCTTGGATCTGGTCTCGGCAGAGTCAGCACACAGAGGGGGCTCTTGCCCCACTGACCTCGAGGGGGTATGTTTCTTGGGGGGCTTTCTGACCGTTTCTACTTCCAACATGCTTGGGAGCTTAGGGCAATGAGAAGACAGGCCCAGGCTGTAAGGCAAGATGAGAAGAACAGCTCAACGAGGGGAGGGGAGGCCAGAGAGGGGAGAAGAGAGCTGAGGATGGAGGTGCAGTTACCACATGGAATCAGCCCCAGGACAAAACTCTCCAGATCCCGACCTCCTTGGTGAATGAAGCCTGATGTTCACTCCTTCAGACCCGACGGAGCCGCCCTGGACCAGAACCCCCACAGCCCTCTGCACGTTAGTGGTTTCTGGGTCCATCTTCTTTGCCAAACTAAGTGAGGTTTCTCTCTTTTCTTTCAATGTTCACTCAGAACCTAGTAGGCATTTGGCAATGTTCCTGTGTGATGGATACAATATAAAGTTGGCAAGGCACCTGCATGCACATGGCTCTCAGGCTGGTGGGCAAGACAAATGTGAATAAGAGACATGCACAACACAATTTAAGCCAAGGTGTAGGGTGTGGAGGAGCACTGCGGGGGCTGTGAGACCCCATGAGGAAGACACTCATGAGGAAAACAGCTAGGTCTCCCTGGAAGAGCTGCAGGCCGGCAGCGAGTGGAGGTGGCCGGTCTCTGCATCCTGTGCCCCTAGGTGGTACTTGGCACCTCCAGGGCACCATGAAAAGATAACAGCGATCAGTTTTCACGGATTATGCAGCCCGAGGCTTCCTAAGCCTCTGCCGGAGCACATGGTGTGGGGCCACTCCCGATGCCACTGACCCAGGCCCCCAGCGTCCTATCACAGACAAACTCCTGAAGGGCTGTTTCTACCTTCTCACCTCCCATTCCCCAAAAGCCCACTCCTCTCCAGCTCCGGCCCCAGCAGGTCCCTGACACTGACACAGCTGAGGCCCCCTGGTGACCCTCGTGGCCCCACCTCAGGGGACTTCTCTGCACTGGAGCAATTGCTCGAGCCCTCCATCTAGAATGCTGCGGCCCGAGGCCCTGGGACACCACGTTCTCTTGGCTTTCCTGTCACCTGTGACTCCTTTTCAGTCTCTGCCCATCCCTCAATGGCGATTCCCAGGGTTCCTTGTTTCCAGGCCCTGGTTCTACTTCCACACCTCCTCCCCAACTGGAGCGGCATCTGCATTTCCACACAGACCCCTGTAAGCCCCTTTTGGCTCCCAACTCCCTCCCAGGCTCCCCTCACCTGCTCTTCCCACAGTCAACTCCATCTCGGTAAATGGGACACCTGTTCACCCAGATGCTCAGACCCCAAACCTATGGACAATCCTTAATTCCCTTCCCCGCATTCATCTTCCGGGGATGAGGTCAAATTCAGGACTCTCAAAAGAAAAGGAGACATGAAGAAAACAAAAGAGAAATGTGTGGAAAGAAGAAGAGAATGTGAGGAAGGAGGAGGCCGGGGAGCCAGGACACGGGTCCCGGGGAAAGAGAAGGTTCAGAGGAAGGTGGCTCAGATCCCACCCTGAACATCTGAGAGCAGGGAGTGTGCGTCTCTCCAGACCAGAGCAGAGGGCAGGGTAAGTGAGGAGATGGGAGCCAGAACATTCTGACACTAGGCAATGATAACCATTCAGAAGGATCACCAGGGCTGGCAGGATGGCCTTCACTGTTGACCAGTGGCTCAAGTGAGAACTGGCCATGGAGAAGCATGGACAATATGATGCAGAGGAGCCCCTTCCAGCAAGAGGGGCCTCAGAAGAACTAAGAGAAATCACCCAGGCAGCTGCCACCGAACCCGATGTCTGCGGCCTGCGGGCAGTGACACTGTGGAGGTGCTGTGGATGATGCTGTGGGTCAAGGTGCAAATGAAGAGCAAGACCCTGTCCTGCCCCACAGGAGGTGCTCCAGGCATCAGAACCACAGGGGCTCACCTCCGCTCTTGTTTTGATTGAGGAAACGTAAACCCAGAGCGGCAATGTGATGGTCAGTGGCAGAGTGGAGGTCCAGAGCCGGCGCCGGGCCTCCAGAAGCAGTCGGTAGGCTTCATTGCTCCCAAGAACACAGAACTAGGTGGGCCCGTGGCCGGCCTGCTCTCACTGATAAGAGCAAAGAAAAGGAAAACACTTCAAGTCAGGCTGCTGCCTAGGTCACACCCCAAAGCCTTTACCTGAGGACCTGCTAGTTTACCCCAGGGCACCAATCCTGTTCTGTCCGCCAACTTGCCTTGTCCCTCCAGTCTGTCCATATTCTGCAGAGACTCTTGATCCACTTGACCATTTAACAAAAATTTGTCAAATGTCTACCGTGAGTCAGCTCTGTACCCTAGAAACACAAATCTAAAGATGAGTAACTGCCTGGCTGCATGCGGGCTCAGGAGGAGAGGATGACTTGGAAATGCCTCCCAGCGCCAGGGCAAGGCACCCTGGAGCCAGGCCTCAGGCTGACCTAGAGGCAAACCAGGCCTATGACATGGGAGTTTCGATTCTGTCTTGGAAGGGTGGCTTACCTTAGGCTACTGCTTCCGGATCCTTATCTCCTGACAGCCCCCTGGGGATAGGTCCAGGATCGTGTGCAATCCCTGGGACCCACGGTAATGCTACCCCTCTCTTTTCCACTGAACCATGTCAGGATGACAGCGAGGTGGACACTGTGCAGCGCCAACCTTGAATCTACGTGAATCTAAAATAGGAAATGTAAAAAGAAAGTCACCCACAAATTCCAAGGACTTTGGTTATCAGAAGTTGTTTGTTACACTTCTCATAACGGATGACACACGCACACACTTGAGAACAACAACAAGATGGATCACCAGCTGTGACTGAGCACTACGTGCACTAGTGTGCCTCGGTTTCCTGGTCTATACAACAGGGTTAACAGCAGCCAGCTCACTGGCTTGTTACGGATTAAGGGAGTCCATGTCTGCATACAACAGTGTTTAAGGACAATTACTGGCGCAGAGTGCGCAATGGATACGTTACGAGCCGCCGTCCGGTACATTCTGGCCTCACCTCGTGTTTCCGGTGCAGGGCACTGAGAAGGAGAGGCTAGGCTAGGAGGGGGTCACCTGAGCCGCCAATGAGCGGGGCAGGCCAGAGCAAGCCATCTCCGCACCCCCCGAGTCCACAGCTGTGAAGCGGGACCACAACGCCCCCTCCCCGGCTCACCTACGGCCAGGGGTCGGGCTGGCTGGGCTGGCGGAGCTGGACGCGGCTCCTGCTGTGGCCGACCGCGCCCCCGCGGCGGGTAGCAAGGGGCCGCCGCCCGCACCCACCTCCGCGCCGCCGCGAGTCGTACCCGAAGGCGCCAAAGGCCCCCGCAGAGCCGGGGGGGGGGGGTCCCGGGTCGCAAAGGGCTACACCTCCGGGAGCAACAGCCCGCGGCGCCGCGCCCACCCCCGTCCCGCGGTTGGTACGTTCCCCGAGCCGGCGGCCAGCACCAAGTGCGCAGGCGCAAGAGGCCGAGGCCGGAAGTGGGTGGGGGTCACGCCGCCTCCTCCGCCGGATCTTGGCCGCGGCTCCCTCCTTGACCGAGGTCCCTTGGTATTAGCTCAGTAGTGCTAGTTTAATAGGCCTTAGAAGGAACACTTGCACGCTCTCTGGGCCGACGTAGTCCAGTCATACTTCTCCACCAGCCGATCCCCAAGGCCCCTTCCGTCCCGGCCTCTCTGCGCCACCAGAGTCTGACTGCCCGAGTGCAACCTGGGTCTCGTTTCGCACGAGCAGACGGAAGGGACCACGGTGACGGCAGTGATCCATGTGTCGGAGTCTCTTCCTGCCTTGAAGGCTCACCCAGCATTTCAGGAAGCCCATAAAGCGTCTTATGGGGCACATTCCCGATGATGCGCCCATGGCCTCTCCCAGAACCCAGGGGTCATCCATGCCTTCCACCACTGTGGACTCCCCAAACAATTGTCCCTATCTCCTTGCGCTGGTCCCACCTGGGCACTAACCCAACTCTTGCTTCACAGGCTACCTTGAGCTTCTTTCCACCGCTACAGTAAGACAAATTCAAGGGCCTCTGCTGGGACACCACTGGGCCTTGGGCAGTCCTCCCTGCTCACCTTCCCAGGACTGATCTCAGTTCTTGCCATCTTTTTCGGGCTCCCCTCCTCTGTGCCCAAGTCCATCAGCTCCAGGCTGGTGCAGTCCTCCGGCTTGGGCTAAAACTAGGACCCCTGCAATGAGAGTATATATCTTTCCACTTTACCAAAGCTATTTTAAATCTTGTTTGATTCCATGCCTCCGAGATGGTGGTTATTGATTTTTCCATTATACAGATGAGGACACAGAGACCCAGTCCCACAGTATGTTACAGTAGGAGATGGGAGGAGCTACAAGTGATACTAAAATCATACTGTTGTGTCGGGGTCTGTATATAGTGGGCTCAGAGCTGGTCCCTGTGCAGTGTTAACCCAGAGGCACTCTAGAACCAAGGATGGTTTGATTGCAAAACTGGGAGACACAGATAATAAACTGAAAGAACTGTTATACACGATAAGAGAACTCAGTAAACTGGCTGGATTTAATGCTAATATATAGAAATCAAAAGCAAATATATGCAAACAACAACCACTTAACGAATATAAAGAAAAGATTAAATTTTACTAACGATAAAGATTAAACGTCATGGAATAAGCTTAATAAAATGTACAAAGTTTATGTGAAAAAATACATTTTTAAACATAGGACTACAAAAAGAACACCTGAACAAGTGGACAGGCATATCATGTTCAGGGTTAGGAAGACCTGAACAAAGAGGGGAGTATTCACTGTAAATTCATTCAACAATGTTCCCATTTTGAAAACAATTGGGTTTTTTGTTAGGAGTTGTTAATATTTTCTGGACATATATCCTTTATTAGGCATATATATTGTGAATACTCTCTCCCAATCTGTCTGTTAACTTCTCTCTTAATCATGTATTGTGAGGTCAGTTCATCACAATGAAGTTCAACTTTTCAGTGTTTCTTTGATGGTTAGTGCTTTTTGTGTCCTTTTAAAGAAATCTTCGACTACCTCATGACTTTTATATATTTTTAGATATAAACTATTTCAAACATCTAATAAAGCACAGAAAAAATATGACACCTATGAAAAAACACCTCATAGATAACTAGATGTTTGCTTCTGTCTTTAACCCACCTGAACTTGACTTTTGTGCGTGATCTGAGAAAGAGATTAAATCTAACTTTTTTTTTTTTCATTTAGAGAGCCAGTTCTTCTGCAGTCCATCCTTTCCTCACTGATTTGTTCTTGGAGATCTACTCCTAGGCTCTATATTTCTGTTCTAATGTCCTTCTGTTCCATACTAATTACCTCTCCCTACAGGAATACATCTATTTTTTCAGGTATAATTTAGATACAATAAATGTCTCAATTTTAAGTGCACATTTCAATGAGTTTTAACAAATTTATTCACCTGCAGAACCACCACCACAATCACGATGTAGGATATTTCTACCACACATACCCCAAAGTAATAGATCCATCTAGCTTTTTGACAGTTAACCTCTCACCTTAGGCTCCAGCTAACTGTAACTATACCTTCTGTTATGAAAGATTCGGTTTACAGTTCCTAGTGCTTCATATAGATGGAACTATCCTGTATGCAGTCTTTATATGTCTGGCTTCTTTTACTTAACACAATGTTTTTGAGATTCATCCATGTTGATGTGTGAATCAGGAACCCATTACTTTTTATTGCTGAGTAGAATTCCTCTAGAGGAATACAGTGCCATTTGTTGACCCATTCACCCTGTTGATGATTTGGGTTGTTTTCAGTTTTAGGCTATCACAAATAAAGCTGCTGTGAACATACCTGTATAAGTCTTCGTATGGACTGACATTTTCAATTATCTTTGGTAAATAAGATTGGGTGGAGTGGTGGTAAATTATGTTTAACTCTTTAAGAAACTGCCAAGCTGTTTGTGCCATTTTATATTCCTGGCAGCAATGTTCAAGTTGCTCCAAATCTTTGTCAACACTTTGTATTGTCAGTCTTTTTCATCTTAGCCATTCAAATGGGTGTGGTGACATCTCATTCTGGTTATAATTTGCACTCCCTGATGACATGATGTTGATTATGCTTCTGTGTGCTTACTTGCCATTTGTATGTCTTCTTTTGTGAAGTGTGGGTTCACATTACTTGCCTGCTTTTAAAAATTGGGTTTGTCTTACTGTTGAATTCTTTATATTCTTTATAGATTTGTATTTTATTCCGTCCTTTATATATTCAGGGTGGAAGCCCTTTGACAGTTATATGTATTACAAATATTTTCTCCTAATTTGTGGTTAGCTTTTCATTTTCTTAACAATGATTGTGAAGAGCAGTAGAAGAGATGGGGCTGTCTGACCTCACTGCCCCCAACCCCACCCCACACACACCATCTTCTTCCCTCTCTCTTCCTGGAACTAGATTCCCAAGGATTAGGGGGACTTGTAGCTAAAATTGATAAAGAAATTCTATAGATCAATAAGAAAAAGACCAAAAAAAAAACCCTAATAGAAAAGCAAGCAAACAATATGAACAGGCAAATTAGAGAAGCTGAAACCCAAATGAACAAACAACAAACAGAAAAAAGAGAATCAGCATCACCAGTTATTAGGAAAATGCAACTTAAAACAAGATACCATTTCACACACATTATCTGATTGAAAAATTTAAAAGGCTGAATAATAAATGAAGTCCAGGAATTCAGACAAGGTTGGTAGGAGTGTAAATGGAAACAGTTGCTTTGGAGGGGAATTTGGCAGTATCTGGTAATGCTGAAAGTAAGCATCACCCACAGCTCCACTCTCTACACGGACACATACATGCCAGCAGAGTTCCAGCGCATTTGCACGAAGACTTATTACAGGGATGCTTACTGTTTGCAACAGGAAGAGCTGGCAGTGATGCAAGTGTCATCAATTAACACTAATGCAGAAACAGAACCTGTATGTCACACTGGACTAGATCTGTCTGTAATAACATTGTATTAGTCATCGATGCCACCTTAATGCTGCATAAGACACCTGAAAACCCTGACTTAAAATGAACTTTTTTTTTTTTTTTTGCTCATATAACTCTGCTTCCGCTGAGGTTTGGCCAAACTAGCCTAGGTTTGGCCCAACTTGGCTCCAGGTCATGTTTCTTCTCTGGGGTCAGAAGGCTGCCCAGGGCACGCATTTTTCATGATCAAGGCGGAAGTGCAAGCCATCCACTCTATGAGTGACTGGAGCTGGAGAAACTCTGGGAGCATTTACATACAAAATCCCTTCAGTCCTTGGTTGAAGAGTGCTGTTGACAATAATTTCCTGATAGCACCTCCAGCCTTTGCACAGGGCTTAAAGATGGTGTTGGCAATTTGAAGTCGGCTGGTGGGCATGGAAGTACTCAGACCAAGAGGCAACGCGTGGACATTGACTGTGTCTACTAAGAGACGTGTCCACTACAGTCTCATCAGTTTTGATCTTTGCTAATATAACAGGTAATAATGAAGTTACATTGTTGTTTCAATTTGCTTTCTCTGATTATAAATGTTCTGAAGCATCTTTTCATGCAGAAAAATCACTTCTACTTCTTTGATGAATTGCCTGCTTGCCTCCTTTGCCATTTACCTAGGTGTGTTGTTCTTATCTTGTTGCTGAGCTCTGTGTCTATGAGCTGCAAATCATTTTCCCTGTTTTTCCTTTATCTTTTTTCTTTACTTTTTTTTTTTTTGCCTTGCAGGAAATTCAAATTTGTCAAACTTTATCATCATCGCTGCTGGATTTCTTCCCTCACCCCCTTAGTTAGACCTTCCCCATTACAAGATCAGTTTTTTTAATTCCCCTATATTTTCTTCTGGTACATTTATAGTTTCATTTAAATTTGTTAAATCTCTGATCCATCTGGCATTTATTTGGTTGCCAGGAGAGAGTCTCAACACTGTTCATTGCCTTTATTCATTTTTTCCTTGTGGACTTGATTTGCCATGTTTACCAATTTATTTCTGGACCCTCATTTTCTTCCATTGATTTGTCAGTCTTGTCATGTGCCAGCACTATTGCTTTCATTTCTGCCTTTCAATTTGTGACTTTATATTTATACTATTTTTAAATATCTGGGAGGGCTGGTGTCCTTGTCAATACTCTGCTTTTTTTCAGAAATTTCCTGGTTATTTCTTACCTTCTTATTTTCCTTGAGAACTTTAGATTCAGCGTGTCCAGTCTGGTAGCCATCTCCCCTCCTTCCCCCACCTCCAGGAGTATTAGCATTTTTATCGCGAGGACGCTACATTTCCAGATTACGTTAAGGACATTTGACTCGAAACCTAGAAATACAGACACGTCAACAGGCCCCAGGTATTCTTCGTGGCGCTTATTTCTCAAGTCCTAGCTCCCGGGACTGTCACTTCCTTTTCCAAGGTGTCCGTGACGGGAACAAGAAACGGAGAAGGAAGCTGAGTTCCTGGCCGAGTGAAGGGGGCGTGGCGGCAGGGTTATGATATAAAGATCATGTGATTCGCAGCTGCCATTTATTGATGAGGCCGGCACTTTAGGCCATTCTCTCAGCTCCTCTCACATCCTGTACGAGGCAGGCACTAGGGTTACTGTACCAGATCCCCAATAAAACGGAAGCTCGGGGAGACTAAATAACTTTCACTCAGCTAATAATTGGAGGAGCTGGGATTTGAACCCAGGCAGCCCAGTTCTTTATCTCAACGTTGAAGCTGAGCTGAGCTGCTCAGTCTAGGTGAACGGCTTCCGGGAGGCTGGGCAGAAAGAAAAAAGAGAGAAATATGTTTGCTGAATCGATGGCTGCAGACCAAGGGCACGGCCGCTTTGCCTGGTATCATAACGGGTTAAGGTCGCAGCCTCTGCAGCAATCCTTCCGGCCCCGCGCTCCCGCTGAGACCCAGAATGCGCATGCGCAGGGACACCCCCCCCCCGCCATGTCCCCCAAGGGCCTCCGTCTGTCAGGAGACGGAAGGCTGACCTTCGCAGTAGCGGGGAAAAGCCTTGCTGTCATCACGGCCCTTCCTCCTGAGGTGAAGGAGCTGAGGTGGGGGTTCTGTGGCTTTCTGAGAATATCCATCCCAGCCCTTTTCAGGGAGGATGCCCGCTGGGTGAGCCAAGGTTCCGCGACGCCCGCGCCCTCACCTGGCCTCCGAGGAGGCACCGTCTTCGTGCTGCACCGCATGCGCTGGGATTGGAATCCGCTCAGACACCCGATAATCCCCTAAAGCTTGGGTCTTCCTTCTCCCCAGGGCGTGTTCTCCAGATCAGGAGCTCCAGGTTCTGCGGGGAAATGCTCGTGGGTCACCCTGGTGCTCCGGATACCACCTTCCGTCGAGGTTTCCCAATCTTTTCACAGGGGCTCTGGGTGGATAACTGATGAAATCTTATCAGTCACCTGAGGGGTCAAGATTCTAGAGTCGTGATTCCCTACTTGTGGAGGGGGGAAGGGACTTGGCCCCCCAGGGAACATTTCACAAAGGCTGGAGACATGTAAGGTGATCACAACCAGGAGCAAGGAGAACAATTTCACCGGCGTCCGCTAGGTAGAGGTCAGGGGGCTGCTAACATTCCTACAAGGCACAGGACAGCACCCCCCCCCGCCCCCAACAAAGAACTATCCAGCCCAAACGCCAGTAGTGCCGAGGTAGGGGAACCCTGTCTTTGGGGGTTTCAGCTAGCATTGTTTAAAATGCAGAGTCTTGACTCCTGTCTGTGACATTCTAATCCAGTGGGGTTTGGAGTGGGACCCCGGAATCTGCATTTTCAAGCTTCCAGGCAATTCTAGTAGAGGTGGGCCACGTTCCACCCTGACAAATGCTGTTGCATGATTCCACAACGCTGGTCCCTAGACCTGAGTGGGCCTGCCTAAGAACAACCCAGAGCACTTGTTCAAAGTCTGGGATCCTCACTCCATCCCTGGGTGTCTGTCCTTGTAGACCTGGCTTCGGTTCCAGCATTCTGTGGGTTTGTTTGTTCTGAGCGGTTCTCAAGCAAGTTCATTACACGGAGCATGGGCTGAGTTAGCGTAGACTTTGGTCCCCTGCCCTCATCCTTCTGGTGTTACAAGTCAAGCAAACTGTGGTGGCTGCCAACTGACTTCATTCCCGGAAACCCCAAGGTTTATAAACAAAGGTCACTTACAGCACTCGAACTTGGAGATTCTCAGAAGCAACGCCAACTACCCCCACTTGATTTCACCTCTACTCCTCAAATTCCCAATATTATCAATGATCCCACTTTTGTTCAAAAATCCCAAATTCTCCAAGGGCCTTGGTTTAGGGGCTTCATCAGGGAGGGGTGACCCTGTGGCTGCAGTAACAGCCACCTTCTGTATTTCCTTCTTTCCATTGAGAATCTGGGCTGATGGGCGTCCCTGCTATGGCTTGGAATGTGCCAGATGGCAGGATGCTGAGGTGGGAAAAGTCACAGAAGACTGTTGGGAAGCCGGGCATCAGTGCAGCATCCAGCTAGCAAGTCCCCTTAGTTCTTTGCCTTTTGGGTTCCCCGAGCAGTGCCTGGCACCTAGCTGTTGTGGTTCCATATCCTTCAAGGGCTTTTAGTCAGTGTGCGAGCGCGTGGCCCCAGGGGCCGCCCAACCAGTTCTGTCTGGAGGTCTCCATCCCTTGTGCAGCACTGCCCTCTGTCGGCCGCTCTGTGTGTGTGCAGCTTAGCTAATCTCGCTGGCCATGGTCTTCTCTGGGGCTTGTCGGGCCCAGGGTGGTCTCCCAGGCTGCTTCCTGCTCTGCCATTAGGGGTGGTGCAGGGGTACCCACTCTGGGCCACTGCCCATCTTTAGGGATCTTTTGCTTCCTGTAGGTGCTGGGAGCGTCTGCGTCAGAGGCTGACATTTACAGATGTGCTTCCCACTTGGCAGGGGAAGGGGTGCTTCTTGCTTGAAACAAACTACAAAAGAACTCTCGGCACAAGTCGGTCCACACCCTGAACTAAGACTCGCCCAACCTGGCATGGCTTCTGGCCGCATAAGGCTGCATCCCTGGGCAACCCGGCCCCATCGAGTTCCTGTCTGACCAAACTCCAGGCTGTGAGAACGGACTGTCTAGCCAATACCTGACCTTTCTTAGAGCATTTACCACTGTGAACACTTCCTCTGTGCCTCTGGGACATCCATGTATGGATCTCCTGCCACCAGGAGTGCCTCTTCAGGACTGCTCCTCTGAGGTGAAGTCGGGATGACTCGGGCCTTTGTCCCCAGTCTCTGTGCTTGGATGCACTTACAGCCCCCAATCCTCGGTGACTTTTCACTTTCCTGACTCTACTCAGGCCCCGCTCACCCCACCCCACCCTCCCTTGTTCTCCTGTTAAAGTGCCCAGTCACCTCACATAGGCACAGGCACTACAGAGCTCACATTTCCCTACTGTCAGTGGTTACAGAATAAAACCTACTTCATGGCTTTGCCTCACGTCTGGCTGTGTTCATTTCTGACAAAACCTTCTCTCCCCGCAGTCCCTGTCCTGCGGGTGGGATGAAAGCTTTGAGAGGAACCCCAACTTCACAAAGCAGGCGGGCCCAGACCCTGGGGGGGCATCCCAAGCTCCCGGCCTCTCCTCTCACCCTGAATGGCTGCAGTGAGGAAGGGGTGGGCAGTCACCATGCTGGGAAGGGGACGGGACACCAGACCCAGGGTGCTCCCCAGGGCCCCAGGAACAGGCTGCCTGGCTGTGGTTCCACGAGAACTCAGGGACAGACACACACATCCCACCTCTGCAGGCCACATCTTCCTCTTGACCTTTAAACTCGTGTTTCCAACTCACCAAGTGTGGATACCCCGGACACACCCAGCTTACCAGGACACAAAGGAGACCCCAGGTCATCACCACCCTCCAGCCTGCTCCTCCTTCACAGCCTGTCACTGAGAGGGTCCAGCCGCCAGGTACTGGGCACTCTTTTAGCCTACTGCTCATCACAGGGTCCACCTTGCTGCCTCTCTCTCCCCACCACCTACTCCCTACTCACCTTCAGCTCCTAACTGGACCTTCAGTCTGCCCATGCATGCCCATCTTCACCACCACTCCCATCCGGATCCCCGGTAACAGGCTGCCTCCCATCACGCACCCTGTGGAGATTCTAGAAACCAAGTGGGGTCATGTGACAACCCTGCTTCCGAACCCTTTTGTGGCTCCACATTCCATTGGATCAACCCAGACTCCTCAGTGTTCAGGCCCTCAGTGGTCCTTCCTCATTTCTCCCGGTTCCTCCTCTGTGCACCTCCTACCCCCACACTCTGTAGCGCCTCCCATGAGCTACACTCTCTAGCCTCAGAGTGCCAGCTCCCTCTCCTCACTCTGCCTGGAAGCTGATCCTCACTCAAGCCCAGCGCAGAGCCCTTGGGTATCTAGGAATGAGGCAGACCACACTCCAGAATGTTGGGGACCTGCTTTATTGCAGAGCCCCAGGGACCACATGCTCTGTAATCCGGGACACGGACAATGGTGGTCAAGGTTCCATTTGAATGAGTCCTCTGTCTTCCTCCTCCTGCCAGGCCTAGTTCTGGGCAGCATCCAGTCTCCTCTGGTCTCAGGAAAATGCATTTCTCAGTATCCACATCCCAGAGCTGCAGCTCCAAGCAGCTGCCAGTCCCCTTTCCTGTCCCCCAGATCCACCCACTGAGGGAATGGGAAGCGGGTGGGCAGAGGAAGAGCAGCCTCCAAACAAACAGTAATTCCCCCACCACGCGTGAGTCACTAGACACGGGTCAGGTTTCCAGTACAATCCAGACTCGACGCCCCCCACTCAAGGAGGCCCACAGAGGTCAGCACAGGAAGGGAGTTTGAAAGGGGTTGGGTGGGATGTCAAAGGGAGGCCCCAATCTGAGCAACAGGCCAAGCCCAGAGCCAAGAAATCCAGCTGAGACGTATCACCTTCTACCACTGTTCCAAAAATGACACCCACCAGATAGAATGCCAGTCTAATAAACAGTCAATATATACAGATACTGGCTCCTTCCCCCGGGGAGGAAAGGCGGCAGAGTAGTCAGGGGACTCCAGTTAGCTCTGGGACTGCAGGCAAGTGTCTGAGGTCTCAGCTCCACCTCTCCTGGGAGAAGTGAGGCCATGCGCTGGGGGTCCTAGGTTTGCTCTGGTCTGACGCCCTCGCCAGGCAGGTGCTCCTCCACCCCACAGCATCCCAGCACAGAGCCCGGCCACTCCGCAGGATAGGTCTGGTGCTGGCCTCAGGAGCCAGGGTGGGCCCAGGGGCCCACGGTGCCACCCACAGCTCACCTATACCTGTCTCCCCACCCTCTCTAGCTCCAGGTGACATATGTGCTGCCGTGAGGGGCTCTGAATCTACCCCCACCGCAGCCAAATGAGGGAGAGGCCAGGCCTGGGGCAGAAGCTGCCTTCCCTTTCTCCCGGCTCACACAGTGCTCAGACCAAGCCTCAGGGTGGGGGGACAGCTTGTCCACAGACGGGGAGGCCCAGGTAGGGAGGAAGGCGGAACAGAATACTCTGAGGATATACCACTTTCTGAGCAAGCCAATTTAAGTGAGTGTAACTATAAAGGATGCTAAACATACAGGTTTCAATCCTGACCCAAGAGACTATGTTGCTTTTTTGTGTGCAAATGTTTTTCCATTATTTCAACATTTTCACACATTTCACATCTACATGTGTCAGAAAATTAAAGAACTCCAAGAAAGGCCTTTGACACACCCTGATCGAGCCCCTCCAGCTCACGGGTGAGGGGGCCCACGCGGGCAGATGCTTTCTGGGGTCACGCAGCAGGATGGTGGCCAGGCTGACATAACTGGTCCCATGACTCCTCACCCAGGGCTTCCTCTCCGGCCTGGCCCATCCCAGGCTCAGAGCACCTGGGCTGGATGCCCCTTCTCCACAGGGCACACGGCCTTCCCTGGGCCGCCCCCTTTTGCAAAAAGCAGGCTCCCATGCAGGATCTACATGGGAGGGGGCAGTGGCACCGGAGGGCTGGGTATCTCCTGCGCCAGCTTGACTCTGAGCTCAGGGCTTCCTGAGGCCCAGACTGGCTGGGAAGGTGGGACTTTCCAGAACCAGGGAGGCCTTGAAGGAGGGAGCACAGAGGAACCAGGACACAGCTGTGGGGGTGACAAAAGGGTCATCAGGGGCGGTGGAGCCAAGGTTATCCAGAGCGCTGGGACACCTGAAAATCACATCACATGAAAGAGTCACCTCCTCGCCGTGGAGACCCCCTCCCCCAACCCCTCCATGGAGAGCCCGAGTTGGTCACCCAGCTTACCTCAAACATCCCTCTGCCTGGGTAGCGTCTCAGGGCTCCGGTGCCCCAGCCCTCCCCCCACTCACAACAGACTGCGTCCCCGGCCACCTCTCTGTGGTCTGCAAACCCACAAGCGGGGCTGGGCAGTTGTGCTCCCCGGGGACCCCAGTCTTCCATCCATCCCAGCACAGCACCAGGCGGGGAGGAAGCAGGTGCTTAGCACTTTTTTTTTCTTAATAAATGAATGCCTGAATCCAGCACAAACTCTTATAACAACCCTGCCTGGGCTCTTCCTCCTGGGGCCCTTCCCCACCCTGCCCGCCGCCCCGTGGTACCTGGGGCCGAAGCGGCAGCGGTCACTCCCACAGGAAGCGCACATACCAGATGGTCTCATTCTTCAGCTGGGGCCCAAACAGGGGGTTGAGCTGAGCCAGGATGGCGATGAGCCAGCTGCCAGGGACAGCAGAGCGAGGGTGAGCCTGGACGCAAGGAACTGCCATGCACCCCTCACACCAGGCCGCTGGTCACGTGATCAACCCAACAGACGCAGGGTCTGGCTTCCAGAGTGAAGGGTCCCGCCAAGCCATCCACACTGCAGCCGGCATGGGGGCTCTGTCTGGGGCGTGTGGGTTTGGGTTTAGGCTTGGTATGACTTGATATTTTGTAGATTTATAGGATCACTGAGTCAAGCTGGACCTGGGATTAGGCAAGAGGAAAGACAGCCTCCAGCAGCACCTAGGGAGCAACTCGCAGCTGTGCCCTAATATGTTTCTGGTCCGGGCCCCTCCAACCTGTACTTGGAGCAGGACAAGGCTGGGCTGATGGCAGGCATGTCAGAACCACTGCCTTTTAGGAGCAAGATGAAGAAACTACCCCGACGTGTGGAACTGAACACCGAGAGCCCCACTCCCAGGCCTGCTGAGGACAGGACAGGGACTGTCCTTCAGGCCAGTGAGCTCTCAGGGCCCATCGGCAGGCTACACATCACATCTGGGGGGGGGGCCTGGGCCCCATCACTGTGACTGCGCTTGCCCACAGTGGCAGGCCCCCAAGGCCTCTGGAGGTGGGTGACTTTACATGCCTTAGGTGATGGTACTGCGGTGCTCGGTCTGGTTTTGCAGGAAGGGTCAGCTCTTCCACCCGTGAATCTCCCACAGCAGCCGGGCACGTGCCTGATGCCCAGGAAGCTGTCAGAAATCACTGCCCACTTATCATCGTACTATTCTGAGCATGTAATTTCTAGACGTGGTCCCACCTGACTGTGTGCATCCAATCTGCAGCCCAGTCTCCCTTTCCCACATGTTGACTTGATGTTTGTACACTCCGCCTCCCCATGTTCCCAGCCACCATCCTCTATGTCTCGGTCTCTGAGCCCCTCTGAGGTCCTGCTTGGGTCAGATGGAGACATTCTGCCAAGGTCCGAAGAACCAAGAAGCAACACAGAGACAGGACCTTAGAGATGCTCTCTGTCAGGAAGAATTCTGAAACACTGTATGTCCCTATGTATTTAAGCTAACATCTAACAGTCATCATTATTTTTTACAAGTTTTATTTTTTCATTAGTAGGTAGAAAATATTAAATATTATATAAAGTGAAACAAGAGAGAATTTGCTAATAGGAATAAATAATTCATAATCTAATTAGATAAAACAGGTTTTAACTACATAACATGTACCAAATCTGAAATTAGTCATGTAAATTTTTTTAAATGTGGGTTTTATTCTATGTATTTTGACAAATTTGGCAGTCCTGAGAAATAGTCCAGTTACTTTTGAAATAATATCACCTTTTAAAGAATCAGCTTCTCATCATGTTACCTGTCCTGACTGTTCTGGATTCAGAATATACCAACTATGCCAAGCTTAACACATGAAAGTAGTGTATGAGACCCAGGAAGGTGGGAAGCCAAAAAGGCCTAACGTGGCTGAACCGATTAGGAGAGAGGCCACCCTCAAAGCCAGAACTTGGACTTATTCCTCAGTTTGGCAGCCAGGATGATTTAACATGGAGAAACCCAACACAGAAGGATTGGGGACGGATGGCAGGGTGTCTTTTTTTGTAAAAGAGGAGCGGCTATCACAATGGCAGCTTTAGAAAGGGAACATCTGGACATGAGGAACCTTGGAAGTGGATTCCCTCACACTGTCCTCGTACTCACATCTCTTGGAATGTTTCCCTATCTCCCAGGGAACTTTTCCAAGTTTGAAGACCTCTGTTCATCCAGTGGTTCTAAACTGGCTGCATCACAATCACCCAGGGGCAAGCACTAAAAATACAGATTCCCAAGTGCAGATCTTGAGAACTGTGGTTTAGTGGCTGCAGGGGGAGCCCTGCAAGCTGTGTTTTACAGTCTCTCCGGGTGATTCTGAAGCCCAGTCAGGCATAAAAAGCACTGGCTCATTTCACAGATGAGAAAACTGGCGCCTTGGACATTACAAAGCTTGTCAGGTGATACATTTGGAACCAGAACCCAGAGTTCATGACTTCCAGCCCATCACTCTCTCTGCCACTGCACACCACCTCCTCTTCTGTTTTACTCGGCCTTTCAAGGCCTGTAGGTGTCAGGACCAGGACAGAGGGGAGAGCAGGGCTGGGAGAGGAGGAAAGAAGGGAGGACAAAGGCACCCACTGACTTTGAGCTGGGGAGAGCAGTACTTACAAGAGGTAACAGCAGACGGCGGTGGCCACCAGCATGGTGATGATCACTCTGCAATGGAAGAGGCCGTCAGGTCAGGGCAGGTGGAACCAGAGCCCTTAGGAGGACTGACCGGGGCCAGAGAAAGAGCTCCTGGTGCCAGCCCCTTTTCCGTTGGCCTTTCCGATGCCACCTGAACACAAGGAGGCTGAAGTCTACTTGGGGTGAGAATTGCAAGATGGAAAATAAAAACTCCCAGCGTCACCTCACGGGGAGGTCAACCTTGACCATATCCAAGTTACATTATGAATCTTTCCCTTTACCTGTTTTCCTTCTCCATCACCTACTATTTCTCCATCGTAGAGTAGACATGTCGGGAAAAGATACCGTACAGAGCTGCATCTGCAGCAACCCACCGTGGAGTGATCTCTGGAATTCAAATTTCACTGGGCAAGGGGAAGGGAGACAGAAGACAGGGCAAGAAGCACGGAGCCTGTGAGCCATCTCTGAGACTAAGTGAGCAGTTACAATGAGAACGGGGCCTAGCTACACTGAGTTCACTCAAAGACTGGAGACAGAGGCTTTAAATGCAGCAAGAGAGACTTCAGTTAGACAGAAGAAAGAACTCACCAAGTTTTGCTGGAGAGGTGAGGAACTAAAATGGTTTACAAAGCCGTGCAACCTTAGCCCCTCAGATCTTGAAGAACAGAGGCAACACCCATATGTCCAAGCAGCCTTCAGCCAAAGCTAAACCTAACCCAGACCAGGTCCTATGACCTCTGATCTAAATAAAGCACGTGAAGTTGCTGCCAGAGAAATTAGCATCGAATCCATTCTTTCAACATAACTAAGAACGGTGAATCTGTCCTGTGCTGGGCACTTGGGTATACAGTGGTGAACAAAACAATTTTCCACCTCGAGGAACTTGTAATCAGGAGACAGAGCACTTTACAACTGAAGATAATATAAAGCAGAAACTGGTAAATGGTGCAACAGGTACAGAAATCTGCTGGGGGACCTTCAAAAAGCAATGATACCGGCTAAAAATTATTTAACATAATATGTGCCATGCATTAAGAATTTTATATACAATATTTCGTGTCATCTTCACAGCAGCCTTAAAAGGCAGGTATCATCACAACCCCCAATTACCTAAGACAAAAGCGAGGCTTGAAGGGGTGACAAACGCTCAAGGTCACAGCTGGGCAGGAGTAGACAAACTGCACCAGCGCCTAGCCATAGCCTTTACCTTTACTGGCGGGAGGAGGTGCCCGCGGCTGTCTCTACCTTTCTAAAGCACGACCGTCTCTACTCTTTGGCCCCGACAGCCTGCCTGCTCCCGGCTCCCGGCTGAACGCGGCCCACTGCA